AAAAAACCCCAGGGGGACCCCAAATAAAACCCCAGCCATGGAACGGGCTGAGCCGGTGTCCGGCACCAGCACGGACCAGTAGGGACCAGTAACAACCAGTAACAACCCTTAATGACCAGCAGAAACCCCGGGGGGACCCCAAATAAAACCCTGGGGTGACCCCAAATAAAACCCCAGCCACGGAACGGGCTGAGCCGGTGTCCGGCACCAGCACGGACCAGTAAGGACCAGTAACAACCAGTAACAACCATTAATGACCAGCACGGACCAGTAAGGACCAGTAACAACCAGTAACAACCATTAATGACCAGCACGGACCAGTAAGGACCAGTAAGGACCACTAAGAACCAGCATGGACCAGCACGGACCAGTAACAACCAGTAACAACCATTAATGACCAGCACGGACCAGTAAGGACCAGCATGGACCAGCACGGACCAGTAAGGACCAGTTACACCATCCGCATCTCCCAGTAACCCCCAGTAACACCAGTAAAACCAATTACAGCATCCGCATCTCCCAGTAACCACCAGTAACAACCAGTAACAATCAGCAACAACCAGTGACCACCAGTAACAAGCAGTAACACCAGTAACCCCCAGTAACAGCATCCCCATCTCCCAGTAACTCCCAGTTACACTATCTCCATGTCCCAGTAACCACCAGTAACAGCATCCCCATCTCCCAGTAACTCCCAGTTACACTATCTCCATGTCCCAGTAACTCCCAGTTACACTATCACCATCTCCCAGTAACCACCAGTAACTCCAGTAACAACCAGTAACCCTCTAACCCCCAGTAACCCCAGTAACCCCCAGTTACAGCATCCACTGGTCCCAGTAACCCCCAGTTACACCGTTCTCATTTCCCAGTAACTCCCAGTTACAGAATCCCCTTGTCCCAGTTTGCCCCAGTGCCACCCAGTAACCACATCCCTGGCACCAGTAACTCCCAGTTACAGAATCCCCATCTCCCAGTAACTCCCAGTTACAGAATCCCCTTGTCCCAGTTTGCCCCAGTGCCACCCAGTAACCACATCCCCGGCACCAGTAACTCCCAGTAACGGCATCCCCATCTCCCAGTAACTCCCAGTTACAGAATCCCCATCTCCCAGTAACTCCCAGTTACACCATCCCCATCTCCCAGTAACTCCCAGTTACACCATCCCCATCTCCCAGTGAGTCCCAGTATCAGCTTCCACCAGAACCAGTAACTCCCAGTAACAGCATCACCTGGAACCAGTAACTCCCAGTAACGGCATCACCCCACACCAGTATCCCCAGTAACAGCCACTGCACACCAGTATAAACCAGTAATGGCATCACCCCACACCAGTATCACCAGTAACAGCCACTGCACACCAGTATAAACCAGTAACAGCCACTGCACACCAGTATCACCAGTAACAGCCACTGCACACCAGTATAAACCAGTAACAGCCACTGCACACCACTATCACCAGTAATGGCATCACCCCACACCAGTATCACCAGTAAAAGAGTCACCACACACCAGTATCACCAGTAAGAGCACCCAGTGGCACCAGTATCACCAGTAAGGGCATCCTCCCACAGTACCGGCCTTACTGGGCACCAGTGACCCCCAGTAACAGCATCACCACAGACCAGTAACCCCCAGTTACAGCACCACTCCACACCAGTAACTCCCAGTTACAGCATCCACCAGAACCAGTAACCCCCAGTAAGAGCATCCCCATGTCCCAGTAACTCCCAGTAAGAGCATCCACCAGAACCAGTGACCCCCAGTAAGAGCATCACTCCACACCAGTAACCCCCAGTTACAGCCGCCCCCAGTCCCAGTATCCCCAGTAAGAGCCGCCCCCAGCACCAGTCTAACCAGTAAGAGCCGCCCCCAGCACCAGTATCCTCCAGCAGCAATCCCAGCAGTCCCAGTACAAGGCCTCTGCTCCCAGTATGCCCAGTAACAGCACCCCCGGGCCCAGTATCCCCAGTAACGGCATCCTCTGCTCCCAGTATGCCCAGTAACAGCACCCCCAGGCCCAGTATCCCCAGTAACAGCAGCCTCTGCTCCCAGTATGCCCAGTACCGGCCTCCCTCAGTCCCAGTAACAGCCCCAGTATCCCCAGTACCAGCATCCCTCACTCCCAGTCTAACCAGTAACCGCCACCCCCGGGCCCCGTATCCATCCCAGTATGCCCAGTAACAGCCGCCCCCAGTCCCAGTATGCCCAGTAACGGCATCCTCTGCTCCCAGTATCCCCAGTAACAGCCACCCCCGGGCCCAGTATCCCCAGTAACAGCCGCCCCCAGTCCCAGTAACAGCCCCAGTTTGCCCAGTACCAGCCTCCCCCACTCCCAGTCTAACCAGTAACCGCCACCTCCGGGCCCAGTATCCATCCCAGTACCCCCAGTAACAGCCGCCCCCAGTCCCAGTATCCCCAGTAACTGCCACCCCCGGGCCCAGTATCCCCAGTCCCGGTCACCTCCAGTCCCAGTATGCCCAGTACCGGCCTCCCCCACTCCCAGTCTAACCAGTAACCGCCACCTCCGGGCCCAGTATCCATCCCAGTATGCCCAGTAACAGCCGCCCCCAATCCCAGTAACAGCCCCAGTATGCCCAGTAACGGCATCCACCGCACCAGTATGCCCAGTAACAGCCGCCCCCAGTCCCAGTATGCCCAGTAACAGCCGCCCCCAATGTAACAGCATCCCCCAGTCCCAGTATCCCCAGTAACGACCGCCCCCAGTCCCAGTATGCCCAGTAGCGCCACCCCCGCACCAGTATCCATCCCAGTATCCCCAGTACCACCCGCCCCCGGCCCCAGTCCCGGCCTCCGCCGCCCCCAGTATCCCCAGTAAGAGCCGCCCCCAGCACCAGTATCCCCAGTAAAGCCTCGCGCGCTCCCAGTCTGCCCAGTACCGGCCTCCCCCGCTCCCAGTAAGAGCCTCCCCCGCTCCCAGTATCCCCAGTAAGAGCCTCCCCCGCTCCCAGTCTGCCCAGTACCGGCCGCCCCCGCTCCCAGTATCCCCAGTTACAGCATCCCCGGGCCCCAGTGCCGCTCCCAGTCTGCCCAGTACCGCCTCCCCCGCTCCCAGTATCCCCAGTACCGGTCTCCCCCAGTCCCAGTCTGCCCAGTACCGCCTCCCCCGCTCCCAGTCTGCCCAGTCCCGGCCGCCCCCGGCACCAGTATCCCCAGTACCGGCCTTCCCCGCTCCCAGTAAGAGCCTCCCCCGCTCCCAGTTTGCCCAGTCCCGGCCGCCCCCGCTCCCAGTATCGCTCCCAGTATCCCCAGTACAGCCGCCCCCGGCCCCAGTATCCCCAGTACCGCCACCCCCGCTCCCAGTCCTCCCAGTCCCGGCCTCCCCCAATCCCAGTACCCCCAGTAAGAGCATCCCCCCTCCCCCCAATTTCCGCTATCACCACCCCCCCACCCCA